AAATTATCGTGATAAATTTTTTAGTCCATATCGCCCATCCCTATCTGAAACCCTCGCCTCCAAAGCTGCAAAAAAACTACACTTATTACACATCCCATTATCACTAAAGGAGGCAGAGGAATAACTGAACATCTGACACAGAGAGCAGGAGAGAGGAGAGGAAGAAGGAAGAGTTGGAAAAGAGTCAAGGGAGGGAGAGAGAGAAGCCATAGTGATGCTAAGCTAGTGCTAGCCTAGGCTAGCTACTCCTTACTACCAGAAATAAAACCGTGTGAAACTGACAAGTGCTCAGTAGAAAAGTGCATTCAGGTACACTGAATGATGCATTCAGGTACATCAGGTACAGAGAATTATATTTTGGGACACTTCTATAATCATGTCATCGTCTTTATACTTTCACCTTTCCTGATTCTCATAGGTTACTTGTTTATTATTGATTTTTTTTTAAATAATAAAATCTGATCAAATCTTCAGTCATTTCCTCTGTTTGGAGTATTACTTTTATTAAGCAGTTGTAGCTTTAAATACAACAGTGAATCAGTCTTCAAATATCAACCTTTAGTAATAATAGAACAGTGATATACTCTTTGTTGTTGTTTATATTCTGTTTTTATTATTTTTTTTCATTTGTCTTGTTAGCTGTCTAAAAATGACATACATTAAAAATTATCACTTACCATGCTGTATCTAAAGAAGACCCCAAGATGCGAGCAGCAGGAGCAGCGCATCTTGAAGAATCTGATCAACAGGAACAGCACCTCATGAGCACTTAAGCATTTGGGGCAAAATCGCGCAATCTGTAGCAGTAATGTGAACTTGCTCAATGTTCCTCATCAACAAATCAGGGAAACTGGCAGGGAAACAGACACAGCTCATTCACAGCTGTCAGCATAGCCATCGAAAATTATCAAAAATATGTATATAAACGGAGTAAAACTTAACAACTTTTTTTATGTAGTTAGAAAACATCTATATTTTTTCCCCTGATGAGCATTCTCACACCAAACATACAAGGTTCTCCAGTGACTTTTCAGTACCAGCTACATGTGAAAGCAGAGGTCTGTTTCAGTCTCTTTTCTTTGCTTGGTTTTGGATTAGTGAGAGATGGGAATGGATCCGTCCAAGGTAGAGGCCATCACAGACTGGACAGTTTTAACTCCAAGAAAACAAAGGTTTTTGGGTTTTGCAAACAGAAAATTTAAAAGAGTCTTTAATACCATCGCTTCACCTTTGCAAGCATTAACATCTCTAACTTCTAAGTTTCTGTGGTCTTCCCAAGCTAACACTGCCTTCCAAGAGCTCAAGAAATGTTTCATCTCTACTCGGATTCTCACCATTCCGGATCCTCTGCTTCAGGTTGTGGTGGAGGTGAATGCTTCAGATTCTGGAGTGGGGCCAGTCCTTTCACAACCCTCACTACAGGATAATCATTTCCATCCAAGTGTCTTCTGAAGACAGGAACTACAATATTGGGGATTGAGAGTTGTTGGCCATTAAGGTGGTCTTGGAAAGATGCCGTCACTGGCTTGAAAGGGCAGAACGGCCATTCATTGTCTGGACAGACACAAAATCTTGGAACACTTTCGGAGGGTCAAGATACTGAACCCCGTCAAGCCAGGTGGGCTTGACGGGGCTTTTTGCGCGTTTCAATATCATTGTGTCTTATAGACGTGGTTCTAAAACAGCAAAGGCAGATATTCGTCTCGTTTGCATGACCCTGCCTCTTCCACTGAGGTTCAAGACCACATCATTCCATCCTCATGCAACATGGGGGCAATGACTTGTGGAGGAGCAAGATAGACAAGCTTCACGGTTTGTCATATAGCAACTGTTCTGTTTGCTTTCCATGAGAAAAGCTATTTCTGAATGTGCCCAGCCTGAATCAGTTCTTCTGTACTTCTCCAGCCTCTTGCAGTTCCAGCTCGACCCTCATCTCATATTTCTCTGGATTTGTCACGGGTAACACCAGAAGGTAACACCACCATTCTCGCAGTTGTTACAGATTCTGTAAAATGGGGTAATTTCATCCCTCTTGTCAAATTGCCCTCTGCAAAAGAGACAACAGAGATCTTAATGGCTTATGTATTCAGAATCCATGGTTTCAAAACTAATGTTGTTACTGACAGGGGCCACAGTTTGTCCCTCAGTTTTTGAAAGCCTTTTGTACCTTGTTGGGTGCTTCTATCAGGCTCTCATCAAGTTATCATCCTCAGACCAATGGACAGTCAAAACAAATCTATCAGGAGTTGGATAATAGTCTACATACCTGCGCATCCCGATGTCTCTTCTCCTGGAGTAAACAGCTGATTTAGTTGGAGTTTGCTCACAACACACCACCTTGCTTATCCACTGGCTCCCCCCATTCCAATGTGTCCCTGCCCATAAACCTTCTTTGTTTCTAGCCCCTGAGAAGGTCAGCGTTCCATCTGCTCTGGCCCTTGCCAGTCACTGCCACCAGTCCTAGGTTAAAGCACGCAGCGTCTTTCAGAAACAGTCTTTGGCCAAAAAGATGGCTGTTGATCGAAATAGGTCTCTACCATCACTTTACTTTTTATCTGCCAACTCTGAACTGAATCATGTAGACTATTCCTGAGATTAATTTGACTATTTCCTGTGTCAAAGATAATCACGTAATTGTGAGACTAAAGCTTCCCAGGAGCATGAGATGCCATCCCACCTTTCATGTAAGCAGAGTTAAACGTAGAGAGAGTGTGCCTCCATCACCCTCAGCAACTTTTTTTAGCAAGGTCATCTTCATATCTTGTTGAAACGTTCCAGTATATATTCTACACTGCTTTTTGATATTTTTGCTCAGCTTGTTTTTGATCTACCTCTGCTTTTGTGGATATTTTACATGATGTTTCTCCAACTCAGTTTGCTGACTCTGGTCTGTATTATAGGATCATTGATTTTATTTTCCCCAGTTGAGTCTTGCATTTGGGTCCACTTTTGGT